TTGATGTTGGTATAATTTGGGGAGGGGAAGGGAAAAAACAAATTGTTTAAATAGGGATACAGGTGGACCCATTGCAACAATGAGATGTACAAGATGCTATGTTCAAAAACGAACTTTAGCCGGGCACTGGTGGCTCACACCTGTAATCCTAGCTACTCAGGAGGCTGAGATCTGAGGATCTCAATTCAAGGCCAGCCTGGGCAGGAAAGTCCGTGAGACTCTTATCTCCAATAAATCACTAGAAAACTAGAAGTGGTGCTGTACTTCAAGTGGTAGAGCGCCTTCAGAGCTGATGGACAGCACCCAAGCCCAGAGTTCATGCCCCAAGACCAACAGGAAAAAAAACAGAAAGAAAGAAAGAAAGGAAAGAAAGAAAGAAAGAAAGAAAGAAAGAAAGAAAGAAAGAAAGAAAGAAAGAAAGAAAGAAAGAAAGAAAGAAAGAAAGATGAACTTTACAATTTAGGTGAGGGTGGGGGGTGGGGGAGTATAGTTGAGGAGGTGGGAGGGGAGGGAAAAACAAAGGAGGAGGCAACAATGCTTGATCAGAAATGTGCTCATTACCTTACTCATGTCACTGTAACCCTCTGTACAGTATTTTCACAATATAAAACATTTAAGAGGTGTGGGGTGAGCACTGGAGGCCACTAATCGAACCAGCCTCAATCAGCTCCGGGATCATGTGCCCACCCTCCGGTCCTCCCAGGCCTAACAGAGAACTCAGCGTGGCCATAACTGCATTTTGCTCTTCTGTATCGTCCCCCAACGTACTTTCCCTGGTTACAGAGCACTAAATTTGAGAACATTAATGTTAGAGTTGAAAGCTGAGAATGACAGAGGACTGTGCTGATGTATCGTGGCCATGTCCCAGTGTACTCTGAGGCCACACCAGACAGAAACTCTGACAAGGTATGCTTGCCTCAGATGAAATTAAAGCTGGCACAATCCCAACCAGGAAAAGTCAAGTTTGCTCCGTCTTACGTGCCTATGATCCTGCCATTGAAAGCTGAGGAGCAGCTCGCAGTTTAACCCATGGACAGGGAACAAGCTGGAATGCCTCAGTCCTCGTCCACTGCAATAGCCCAGAGAACCTAGCAAGTTCACACCCTTGTCTGTCACCGGGAAATGTGGCTGCCATGTGTCCTGGCGGGTCCGACATCTTCCTATATGCTTCGAATAATTAAGTTCTGTTGAAAATATCCAAACAAGTTCTATCCCTTACAGACTAATCTCATTAACGATTTCACACATAGGATGTTAACACCGTTAGTTACGCACAACTGTTTTATCACTGATCCTTCAAAACTTCAAAGAATGACAATTTCTAATAGAATTATTTAAAGAAAAGGTATATGGTTTTATGCTACTTTTGTTGCTGGATTCATTACCTTTGCCTCTAGTTTGTGATTTGTGCTGTTATGTCCTATTTCATCTTTAAACATTTGATTTCGGATCTTCTCCAGAGTAGTTCGAATCTAGAGGAGAAAAGTATTTTATTTTTGGTAGGACAGGCAATGTTTTTGTTTATACCAGCTACAGGTTACTCAATTTATCTAGAAAGCAAAACATATAGTTTAATGTCAGGTTTAAATAACTGCCACCAACATAAATTATATTTATGTTAACATTGTTTTGATAACTGAAAATAAATATTTAGTCCTTGTATCTCTTTTCAGACAAACGTAAAATACAATAACTTAAATTAATATTATACTACCAAGTAATTATTATTCAGTAATTAGCACTTAATACTATGCATTAAGTCCAATTTTGTCTATATAGTAATTTAGCACTAATTTACTGTTTAGTAATTACTATAAAACAATTACTATCTTAGTAATCACTACAAAATAATTACTATCTAGTAATTACTGCAAAATAATTACTACCTACTAATTACTAGAAAATAATTATTATTAAGTAATTTACCACAGAATAATCACTAAGAAGAGATCATATAGATTTATGCATGAAATATCAGCCCCAGGTCTTAAGGACCTATGGAATTGTATGGCACTCAAAAATAATTTAATTAGTTGACCTGACTGAATTATGAATTAGCAATAACAGAATTTCTCCATCTGTTATAAGGAAGAGTTAATATGAATGCCTTCTTTTGTTAACCCTTCCCTCCAAAGATTCACATTTTAATGAGGTAACATGCCAGAATGCAGCCATCAGCAATAGCTACCCTGAACTGTGATGAGGAGCAAGGAAAGGAGATTCAGCAAGAAATGTAAACATCACCTTGGGAATACAGTAACCAGTGGAAAAGGTTACAAACCAGTGGCAGATCCAGCCCCAAATTGTGTGGGACCAATGGGTGTGCCTCACACTCCTGGCCCATTCTTCAGTTTTACAGAGTGATTGAATGAAATCATTTTGTTTCAAGTGTAGGATCAAATTCAAACCTTGAAGAGCAATGGCCAAGCATGTGTTTAAGTTCCAGATCCAGTTGTTGTTTTATAAATATGGGCCATAGAGAAGGAAACAAGCCCATTAA